ATCATCGTTTCCCAAAATTTGGAACACTTCATAATCTTCCGCCACAAAACTTGGTTGTTCTTGTAAAATCTCATTTTCGTAGGAAACTTTTCGACAATTCCAAAAATTACCCACCATGTGTAAGTCGCTTTGACCGAAACATGGGCCATAACTATCAGAGAAATAGATGGACTCGTCTGCTAGTGACTCCACAACTCGGGAGAGTCGCGCCATAGTGGGATTATGCGTGTCGTTGAAAGAAAAGATAAAACTGTCTTGGGTACACCCAAACCTGCTGAAGGATTTACTTCCACGTGATGGGCTCTCGGAGTAATTCCATTGAATCGGGTTATATCCGCCCACAACTTGGTTTGTGCCTTTGACTTTTGCCACGACCAGAGTTTGAGTCACATAATCACACTTACTATGGAATGCTTCTGCCGAGAATCCATCTCTACTCGCCCTTATTAGCAGTTTAAATTTATAAGGATTTTTCCTTTGAAAGTTTAATTTCAAATCCATTTTGTCAATCCAGTTTGATATCAATGCCGTATGGCGACTGTCAATTATATTGGATTCTATAAGCTCCGGAGGAATATTCCTTGGCAAGAGCACATCACGCGTCCTGCTGTCGGGATCTAAGTGATAACGAAGCACCTGTTCCTCCAGTGCGCTGGGCAATAACTTTCGGTAAGGATACCTCACTTTATTAAAGAAGTCACTGGAAGAGATGTCAACGAAATGAATCAATGGGATACTTCGACGGAGCGTGAACTCCAAAGCTTCAAAATCCTGGTCAGTCCATTTCCTCACATCCTCATGCAACTTTGTTTGCATTGTGTTAGCAATCCCCCATTTTATCACATGTTCCCAAATCTTAATTTCTTCCCAGATCAGATCCTCACGTTTCAAAAGATAAAGCAATATAGATTCCTCTAAGCTCGTAAAATCTTTCGATTCGAATATGTCTTTTGAGTGAGAGCACACGTATTTCAGTGTGTAGTCACGAAGTTTCTCGAATGCTCCGCGGTGACATACGATATGAAGAATTGGTACCAAAGTTTGTTTAATCCATTCGGATTGGTGCTTGATCAAGTGTTCCTGAGCATGTATTATTAGACTTGGAAGTTGAAGTTCGTCGCTTGCCAGCATTAATCGTAACAGATCAGCGCCATCAAGTTTTTCCAGTTCAACAACCCCACAGTACATGTATCTATACGTCGTGTTAAATTTTTTGTTCGCAAAAGAAAGAAAGTTATAGGGCATAATTCAGCAATAATCGATGTTGCAAAATTTTTTTAAAAAAAGAAAATTTGCATACTTTAATATAATCTCAAAAATTTCCGAAGGTATGTTTGGTTTTTTGAACACGACGGGTTCCTCGCATTTTCGCGTTAACTCACTGGATAACGCGGATCTAAAATAACCGGAACGAATACGTAAGAGTATGGAATGAGCCTTGAATTCTTTATAATTGGAATTGCCACCGGCACGTATTATCACATTGTAATCCTCCGATTTTTCTAATAACCCAAGTAAATCGTTGGATAACTCCTGCAGATGTTTTGTCAACGACAGATTCATGGAGAACAAATCGGATTACGTTTATTTCAATAAGTATTTAATAATCAATTTGGAGACGAACGAAAGGAATTCAAGAAGACAAAAATAATCAAGAGTGACCGCGGGGTTGTTTATGCAATTTATACCCGCATCTCATTTTAGGGGACACATTTGATCCCACATAACTTATTTACTTTCCCGGCACATGATTGATGTAACATCATATCTGCTATTAATGCACGGAATACATCAAAGAAAAAATTCGCAGAACTCGATAATTATAAAACAGCGACACAAAATATCTACGTTGTCATATGTCAAGATGTGAGGTGTAGATCTGTTCACGAGCACCTCAGCGTTAGAATTCATTTTCTGACGATTTATGTGGAGACGAAATCATGCATGAGCTGTATACTGACATTTAAATGCATATATCAAAAGAAGTTTAGTTGCGTAAACTACAGTATTACGTTACATTTTACTCAATATTCAAAGTTGAGATCCACACTACAGTATACAGAATGGATACATTCCTGATGTGGAGAAATATATACGAAGATTCGACCAGAGTTACAAATGCGTAAGAGAACTAAAGAAAAGTTGCATAATAATAATCCTGACTTTCTACTCTTTAAAAAACTTCTTTTTTTGTTTTTTTGAGTTTGAATATTTAAAATTACGCAGCCTGAACAGAAGCACTTCTGAAACTTGATTGCGAACGAGTTCACAGGGTACAATCGTCACATAACTTGACAACTTCTAACATGATATTTCTAGATTTGAAAGATTCGGGCTTAAAGGCGAATGTACGCACTGTATGTATATATCATCATCCGACACGCATCTAGACAAATATAAAGCAAATATAAACTTTTTTAATATCTCGTATACGTGCATACATGCGTTTCCAGAATAACTCGTTACATCATCATTTCTCGTTATTGGGTCAATCTTTATAATAATCTTCATTATTCTCGTACAACGTAACGGTGTGCCCTTTCTCATTTGATTTTACAATTTTAGCTCTATTAACG